CGTTGCTCAGCAACGTTCTATTATCAACACATATTTCTCCCTGACCGCTGCTTGCGTCACCACATTCGTTTTGTCGCCCATGTTTCAGAGAAGTGGAGGAAAATGGAGGCTTAGCATGGTGAAGAAACTATTGTGATTTTGATGCAAACTGAGAAAAATTTGTCTTCCTCTTGATTCTTCTTTTGACTGTAGATGATTGCAAAATATTTCAGTGAGATAAACGAGGACTTTAAAAAGACGCAAATCAAGCGCTAGTACTTCGATATGGTGATGTCGATGAATATTTCAAGAGAATGCGCCATCACTGTGTTAAGTTATTCCTGATTACCGTGATTTTGGCGTGAAAGGCCAGTTGAATTGAAATTAAAAACCCTTAAAACCAAAATCAAAGTAGTCGCGGTGGCCGTTCAGAGGAACAGAGAACAGTTTTAACAGCCAATGGAAGATAAAAAACCAACCAAACTGCCTAAAGCGTGGGAGAACGCTGGCAACTGGTATCTAATTGGCTGAGAGAGTGGTACGAGTTTTCTGGACCAACCACAGAGCGAAGTAAAGCAAAACCAAAACAACCCAATGGGAAATAGAAATAAAACCAACTAAACTGCCTAAAGCGCGGGAAAACGCTGGCGACCAGACCAAGTCGTGATTGGTCATAGTTTGCATCTGATTGGCTGAGAGAGTAGTATGAGTTTCCAGGACCAATCACACAGCAAAGTAGAGCAAAACCAAAACAACCCCGGATTACTTTCGACACTCAATTGAAAATTGTTCATTGCTATCACCGAATCTAATCACAGCTTTCTCTACGTTTAAGGTTCATGTTCAAAACGCAACACTTGCTGGTGGCGTTGCTGTGGGAACAGTGTCCAACATGGCAATCAATCCTTTTGGAGCTCTTCTGATTGGTTCTTGTGCCGGAGCATTGAGCACTGTGGGATACGTATACATTAGTGTGAGCAAAAACAGGTTGTTTTGTGTTGTATCTTGATTATCTCTAAGCGTTTTTGGAAGGTCAAAACATAACCGCGCAAATCAAGAAAACTGAATTACAAAGAAAATCGCGCAAATCAGAAATTACAAAGAAAACAATGTGCTCGTGCTAACCGACGTTTCTATTTTTGTTTCTGCTGCTAGTGACGTTATGTATTTGGCTTTATTCCATACTAACTCGAATTTCCCCCAGATGAAATTTCAAAATCTCGAAGATTAAAATCAGATTTCATTTTCATGCTGATTGTGGAGGAAAAATCTTTCGGAGAATTCTGCAGATTTTCCGATACCGACGCGCAATGTTAAATTAATCCATTAACCCTTAAGAGTAACTGAGACCTAATTTCCCCTTTCAGTATCACGGCTGAATAAAACATTTAGGTCATGAAATGAAAGAAATGATCGCCAACTAAGAAATCCCTGCAATTTTTTAAAACAGTCTCCAAGTCGGTGCCACAGTAAACGTACGGCTAGCAGTAAGGAGAATATGCATATTGATATGAGTGCTAATAAATAAACTGCAGGTTATATTCTTCTGAGTGCTAAGGGCAAAACATAGTTATTTTCTAATGTCTTTATTCAATCTCTAGCCATTATTGACGAGTTTTACTAAAATCCATGACACCTGCGGTGTGAACAACTTGCATGGAATGCCGGGAATCTTTGGTGGCATTGCGGGCGCTATCGTCTCGGCTAGTGCTGATTTTCAGACATACGGATACGATGGGTACGTTATCTTAGAATTTTGAACATCTCAACGTTAATGCGCATGACCTAAAGGGTGCTCCTGCTCGTTATCGGTCGTGCGCGATAGAGAAAAGCTTCGTGGTCGACATTGATTACATTAAGGTGATCCATAAACGTCCACTGCGCATCCTGACAGGAACTAGAAAGCGTGCGTACCTTAAAAAAGAAAGAAAAAGTGGCTTTTTTTTCATTCTACCAGACCTCGCCAGGGAGGGAATTTCTTATTTTCTCCGCGTAATTAAAGGGGCATGATAAAAATATCATATCTTCGCGTTTCTTGACCAGTCTCCAATGCATAATAAGAAGTCACCGTCGTGATAGTCATTGAATTGTCTGGCTTCTTATTTCTCCCAATAGTGTCTCTCTTGAATCAAATGTAAAGGTCATGAGAATGAAGACTATGATCACAAATTTAAGAAGCTCATGAAATGGTCGCCACATTCTCCTTGCCAGGATCATAAGGAATGTAAAGAGAACAGTATGCGGAATATGACTGCAAATGTTGATGTAGAAAGGGTCAAAACAACCAACCGAGAAAATGCGACTTTTGTTATAGAACTGATTCAGCAGCAAACGATCCGTGCTAGCTGCAAACAACTGACTCGTATTTTTCCAATTTTAAGTCTATTTAGTGTGTGGAGTGCGCGTGCGCCGAAGATGAACACCACTGAATACTGGGAGATGAGGAATATGGGTGTAAAGTTTAACGTGGGAGATCAACGCACAGCCTCTGTTCAGGCTGGTTACCAGATCGCTGGTCTCGTGGCCACAATTGGTGTTGCTATCATCGGCGGAATTGTAACTGGTAATAAAACTATTATACCGTAACAAGGAATTATTATTGAATGTAGTTTTAGCTATGTTACACAAAGGAAATGAAACACCCGCGTTTTTTATACTCCATCTCTCTGAAACCTCATGATTTCAATATACATCTTCAGGCGACTTCGTAGTTTCCCAAGGAAGATATAAAATAAACAGTAGGGGCTTATTAGAATGCATAGACCTATTTGTGATAAGAATTTTGACTTATTCCCATATCTTAGAAAGCTGCCGACAGTGAAAAAAAAACTTTATATCTTATGGATAATGATTTTTGAACAACAACAAAAAATGAACTGTGGGACAAGATTAAGCAGAATATCGCTATTCGTCAGCGGCGAGATACTGACAATTAATGACATTTTACGCTGACCTGGTTCAATAACAGTGTTATCAATCGATAAAGGATTGCGCGTTTCGTGATTAGTTTCGTTTCATATCTCTCTAGGTATGATTGTGAATGGGTCGTTCTGCGACACACCAACTCAGGAACAAATGTATGATGACGGTGATTACTGGGAGGTAAGATGACCGATGAATGCTGTAAATGGAATAGAAGGGGGACATCGGAAGGAGGCTCGACCCAGACCCTTTTCGAAAATCCATGTGCACGAGCTGCAGGTGCAGTTCTTGAGAGTTCTTTGCGCATGTAGTAAATTCGTATCTCGATAGGACGATCCCCTATTCCCTTACGGTGGGAAGCGTGGGTTACACTTTCCCTTACGCCACTGAGGGCAGGAAATAAAGTTTTCTATTCCCGCTCGCAATGAATTAGGGGAACGACATCTCTGGTAACCAGTGAGTACTTAAATAAGGTTTAATATGGCTGTGTTTTCTAATTTTTCGTTTGTCGCTAGATCCCAGATGGCGAAGCGGAAGCAGTATCTAAAGTTTAACAAGCAAGAAGGGATTTTGGGCCAGTTTTCTCCCGTGGTTATTTTGGTGCAACCGCGATCCTCTCCACAAGATCTCGTGTTATCTGTTGATTCGCCCCTTTTTTTTTAAGCTTTATCAAAAATGTAAAACTTTTCCAGATACCTTGACTTACTAGCCTAAGTGATTATCTTTAAGTCCTATAAAGTGCCTTGGCTTGATAGCGTTAAAACACGATAACGCGCCGCGTGAACGTTAGCGCATGAGCAGGCGTTTGACCGCTGTGTTGCCTTAGTGGAAATTAAGGACGATCCCAAGTCCTCTTTTGACAATGGCTGATATGTATATATTTGAAAAGTGTTCTTTTTATGATGTAGCTGTTTTTATCTATAGTTGATCTGCACTGGATTTATCTGTCTGCGATGGCAGATTTATATTTCAGCCTGCAAAGTAGCGAGTGAATAGGTATAAGCAAGAATCAGTTATTTAGTTTACGGAAGTATGCATTTCAAGCCATCTTTAAAGATTCTAATCAAATTTGATAAAAATGTGATTACAAGGACGTTTAAGATGCATGAAAGAGTAAAAAAAATCATTTTTAGTTTTTCGTAAACAAAAAAATTATCATAAAACGCATAACTTTTGAGATAAACTGAAATTATGATAGGCTTCATCACTTATTTTCCAAAAGCCTGTATAGTTTTTTATTAGTCTTTAAATCAGAGGTAATATAACTGATTTTGCTCAAATTTCGTTACCTTCGTATATTCGTCCAATACGCATTCAAGGGAAACTATAGAGTCCCTCTCAGCCGTAGTTCGGTCTCGTCACGTAATAACCCCCCCCCACCCCTCCCTGTTGGTTTCATAACACACGCTCTCTCTCTCTCCCTCTCTCTCTCTTACACATACTTTGCCCACTGTCAATCTTTGAGCCAGCCACAGATGATCCTTAACTAGGCGGGATCAGAAAGATAAAGCGATCCACGTCGATCCATACAAGTTTGTTTACAAAGGACATAGATGGGACTTTCCAACGACGAATGACATGTATGCTAATTGCGTAAGCACATTTTGAAAGATCGCTTAGTCTCAAGGTTTGACTTCAGGACGAGAATGGCTTAAAGCAATCCCATTTTTGAAAACTTCAATTAAGTAGCTCATCAGATCAATCGTTTTCTTCACCTTTGGGAGTCTTTCCTTTCTAAGATTATTTCCCTCTCTAACCTTTAACCCCGGAGAGTGACTAACATCAAATTTCTCCCCACAATATCTCCCTTAAATCACACATTAAGGTCATGAGAATATAGGAAATGATCACCAACTAAAGAGGCTCTTGAATTTTAAACAAACTCTCCTTGTCAGGAAATGTCTCGAGAGCAGTATGGATTATTCCCAACCTTTGATAAATGAAATATAATACAGTTCAATAACATTTGTTATTTGTTTATCGCCGTCAGCCTTAGCCAATTGGGAATGTCGTGGGTGGTACTGGGGGAGGGGTCAAGTTATTACTCTAAATATTTTTTCCTTTGCACTGGTGTGAAATTATGGCGATATCTCATTTCGCTTCAGTATAGACCTTCAAGAAACGCTAAATAATCGGGTATAGGCCTAATGTCTCCCTCTAATTATTATTACAAGGAAGCATTTGGACTATTCACATTTGCGTGACAAACTGTTTACGACGGGTTACGGCGACTGTAGTATTAGCTCAAGGCTTCTCAGATTTCTTATCTTGACGACAGAGGTCACACGTAAAGCAGAAACGAGAACACACGCTAAAGGTTGGACCATTAACGACGAAGAAAACATCTGAGATAATTCGTGACCACTTCCACATTGAAAGCAAAGAGAAGAATGAATGTTTTATCTTCCTTTGTCACCTCAGTGAGCTGATTTTCATATACTGCCGTCGCAGGTTAGTCAAACTGCTTGAAGCATGCTATACATTGCACACACCCCCATTTGTGATCACACTGTAAACACTTTATAAACAGTGCATGAACACAGATTCGTAAATTCTTTGTGTCTTCTCCTATACGTCAGGAGATTCATATACTGCAAAAATCATTTCACTAGCTATACTTTGTAGAGTACGTCCTGATATATTTTTTGTCTTAGTGGCTACGGACTCGCTAAACAACAACCTATAGCGATGGTACACTTTGTGCCAAATTTCTGTTCGTTCCTCGCGATTGTATGACCGATGCGTATCGACGATAAACCGACTAACATTTGACGATTAAGTCTCAACTATTTCTTCACGTTTTCCTTTGCATGTGTTCAAAAATTATTACCTTAATTACTTCGAAAGTTTCCTTATCTCGACAGCCAACATTAAGACAACCTGAACGGTGCGTGCTTGTAAGAGAAATATTTTACTAAATTTTCAAGTTGAACACTCTTTAGCCTGGGGGCTGACAAAATAATTTTTCTTTGACCACGAATTCACCTATATTTCAGCACGGTAGTCTAAACTCTGTTTACTCAAAACAAATTTACTGCGGATAATAAACATTTAGGCATATTTTAGCTCAGTTGTCACGATTGCTGAGTGTTTCGTGGCACGGATTAAGCTCAAATCCTGTATTTACAATATAAATAGCAACATACACTTCTTCCGTTCCGTCGCTCGAGTATCAAAGTGGGTGTTCAGAGGAACGGTTTCTTGTCAGAATTGATAAATTACAATCGCTGCCGTTGCCCAAACGCTTTTTTCTCAATTAATATCAATCTTACGAGCGTTCTTAAGAGCATTTCTCTCCGTTGCCTCTTTTAGCGTGCATGTGTGGCCATTATCAACAGTGAAGTGCTGTCAAAAGCAGCAATATCCATTTAGTATTTTCTAAACTTTGCCATCAGTTCTTGTTGCTGGTGCCAATGCCTTCGGCGAGACCTCTGTTCCACTAGTTGGCACAAATATGAGTCTCTTTGAGAGAATATAATTTGAGAAGAAAGAAATATTTAATCATGATTCATCGATTTTCTATAACACAATAGAATGCCTATAACATTGGCAAAAGATTACCACTAAAAAAAACATAATCTTAAATGGATTATTTCAGTTGAAGGCAACTGATATTGGGCACCAGTGCCACGCGAGACGATCCTATATCGCTGCTCTCTTTACCAGGGGAGGTAGTATTCTTAATCATCCCCCTTATGTGCAGTTAATTTTCTTTAGTCCCCCTTAAAGCCTTTAACTCCCAAGATCTGATTTTTTAATTCTCCCTTCGAGCTGCTAGACATTTCCTTGGAAATTAGTTACGAGAATTTGGTGTAAGATCAAGATGACAACTTCTCCCTGATAAGTCTGAGTATTCTCATTACCTTTTTGTTGGATAATGTATGGATGTTATGAGGAGAAGTTACGTGTTAATCACTTCTGGAGTGAAAGGGTTAATAATACTCTGTTTTGCAACGACTTATCTCCCTCCGTTCTCCCATGCAATCCCCCAAAAAATCTTCCGACAAACCCCCATCCCCCTCAGGCGATAAATAATGACATGTTCTTAAAAGATGGGTTTTCAGTATTCAATTTAGCTCAAAACCCACCTGGTACATAATTAGGGGATAGTGAATTGCTGATACAAGGGTCGTCTCTCCTAAGGGTGGCAAGCCGTTTCCACGGTGTCACCCTCTAATTGACCAAGATTTTTTTTGTTTTTATTTCTCCGAAATACTTGCAGCTGTTCCCTTCCTGACATTGGGTATCAAGTGCTCCCTAACGTATTCCTAAGATGAAGTCTTATCCACCGATGAAAACACTACCACAGTTTAATATTATTATTTCCTTGTTTCTTGCTTAGACCCGGCCAGAAGCATGGAAACTACCCGAGCGATGACGCGTTTCTGAGCTCACGTGACTAAATCATCAGCAAGAGAAGTGAAACGTGAAATTATCAAGAAGGAGGGAGAGCACTTTGATCTCAACTTGACTGGTCTCAAAGGGGCAATACACTTTACTTCCAAGCCTGTTTGTACGATACGTGCTGCATTGATGTCTGAAAAAGGAGATTCCACGTTGGAAACGGAAAGCGTTCCGGTGAAGCCCGCGGTTTCGGCTCAAAGAGCCAGACGTTCAAGTCTGTTCGAGGTTGGGTTTCCAGTTCAACGAGACCGTGGATCCAGCATCGTTTCCATCCCCAGCATTGTACCGAGCCATTTACACACACTTCATCAAAAAGTCACCTTTGAAAACACCTTCAAAATGGAGCCAGACAAGCGATTTCACATCGGCGAAGTGAAAGAAATCCTGGACGAAATGCTGTCGTCTTCGTTGAAGGATGTGAAGTACGATGCCATCAAATGTCGTGCTTTGAGCAAATCTCTTTCTCACACAATCTGTGAGAGAGTTAAGCTTCTGGGATTTACGCGCTTCAAGATAATTTCCAGTGTGAGCATCGGGCAGATAAAGGGCCAAGACGTTAGAATTGCTAGCCGCTTTCTGTGGGATGAAAAACATGATTCGTGGGTAGATGCAGTGTTTACAAATTCAGAAATATTCGCTGTTGCGGTAGTCTATGGAATTTATCAAGAATAAAGCGAAGGAAAAGGTAGCGTTAACTTAATGATAAGAAACTTTATTTTTTGTTTATTGAATCGTTCGATTCAAAAGAAAATAGAAGCGTTTATATCATTGAAAACCCGATAAAGTTAGGTTAATTTGAATGTACACAACTTCGCTACAATGGTTGTAAGTAAAAATTCGTTTAAAGTTTAGGATCATCTTACTTGAATACTCGTTCGGCTTCTATAAGTTTCAATTTAAATTTTCTACGAATACTTCATTGCAATGAATTACTTGCGGTGTGATTTATTCATAGAGTTATTTTCAAAATACCCATTTCGATTTCACTTTGTAATGACCCTTAAAAGTTGTCATCTTCTTGAGGAAATTACCCCCTTAAATTGAAGTGCCTACATTAAATGTACAGTTTATTGAAAAATGTGGCTTTTTTATCGAGCGATTTATTAAGTTGTTAGCAGATAAGGCTTTAGTTGACGAAAAACTCATGGATTGCAAGGAATTTACAGAGTAAAGGCACTTGCCAAATGGTGTGATTCTCCATCCGGTAATCGCGGAGAAATCGCACGACACCTTAAATAATTACATTTGCATCCTCTGAAAGACTTCTTGCGAGGTGCCATTAACGGAAGAAGGGTAGAAAACCGAAAGAACTGAACCGCAAAGAAACGTCGTGAAGTACCCTTCTGCAAAAAGGACCTCCGGCTACCCCTCCCTGCGTGGAATTTTTCTAAAAGTACCGGCCATATTTCATAACTATCCCAGTTTCCAACTTAGAAAGAGACTCTAGATTCTTAACGCCTATAATACCTGCAGGGCACTGTTTTGATGATAATAATGCAAGCATTGACAAAAACTGTGAAAAATATGTGGAACAGGTAAAAATGGTTACGACCTTTTATCTGCGAACATTAACAATCAAAGGTGTAAATTCTCTCAGATCTGAGACAATATGTGCTGGCCCCTACATAAGCTAACTGGTTACGTAAAACTTTTCAACATAATTTTTAAGGCTTTGTTGTAAATCCTTCAATTGATTTATTTTCTAAGTTTAAAGGATGACAAAGGGGAACGAGTGCATTTGACATTTGCATTTGTGGTATAGGTCACACAGGAAGTAACAAGGTGCTTTGTTATATGCTCAGGACTCCTCAATAGGCAAAAGTATCTTTAAACCTTTTGGCACCTAAGAGTGACTAGCATCCAATTTCTCCTTACAATATCATCCCTGAATTAAACATCAAGGTCACAAAAATAAAGGAAATGATCACCAATAAAAGAAGCTCTTGATTATTAAGCAAATTCTCCTTGCCAAGACCTTAGGAGTGTATAGAGAACAGTATGGAGAATATACATACTGATGAGTAAAGGGTTACAGCGGTCATTTTATTGTCTGGGCCAGCCAGAACACAAACATATAACACTATTGAAATACTTTGGAGAGAAAATTCCTAACCTGGATGTCCTTTCAAGTTCTCCATGACAAAATCACACTTATTGTACTTAAATTGAGCCCTAGTATTAATCTAAGCCACTCTAATATAATATCAAATATACTAATTAAATAATAAATTTATAATTATTTGAACTCTTACTACATATCCAGTATTTGTTGATCATAATTTACAGGTTCAGTATGATAAACACTAATTCTGAAGTTTTCTTTCCATTCAATTACTAATATCATTTTGTCACTCCAACAACATAATTCTCAAAATCATAACTCATGGTAAACAACACTGATTACACTAAAAAAAAAACGTCACACAATGATGCATCTCACTGGCTTGCATTAAGCCAGGGCTTTTCAACTTAAACAAAGCATTTGGAGATAACTTTCACTTTTTCGGATCTCTGATTCAAGACCTTGACAAAAACTTGATTTACTAGGAAATCTCGTTCTGTTCATCCGTGGACGCAGCTATTGCATCAACACCCCCGCCCTGAGGAAACGAATATCATCGCTGCTGTTAATATAGCCCGTCCCCATAACACATCCCCATCATTCCAAGCACCATAGAATGCGCCATGCTGTCGCTGTCAGTGTCGCCAGCGATGATTTTCAGCTTGGGTCGACGCCTGCGCAGTCGATACACCACATCATGGCGCACGCGCATTTGATCAGTGATGATCAATCCCTTCAAGTTTGGCAACACACTCATGTCAAACAAACGCTTGATACATTCATCCGTCAGGGAACCCGAACTGCGGTCATGACCACTGACTTCTAGTTCTTCCATTAGCGGGCACCTATACATGACGTCAATGACCGCGGCATCGGTAGCACCGGTGACGGACTCCAAACGGAGTTTGCGCAGATTGGGACAGTTGCTGGCAATGTGGTGCACGGCCACATCTGACAACCATACGCCAGTCCCTGTGTCTGAGGATCCAAGCTCTAGTACCACTAAATTGTCCTTGCAGAGGTCCACGGCTTTTATGACGTCATCATCCCGCACAGAAAACTCTGAACCGAATGTAATACTTCGGAATGGTGTAGGAATACCGCTGATATCATCCAGGTCATCCCTAGAACTAAACATATTCGACAAACAATTGCAAAAAAATTCTTATCAAATTAAATAATACTGCCGATCATTTGTGAGCCTCATAGGTAGTTGGATGAGGCTGGAAGAGGAAATCAGTGCGTTAAAAAGTTGTGCTTGCTAATCTTTCAGGACCTCTACGCGATCCATAATTTTTTTAGCTACCCTTACTATGCTTGTGTTGTAAGTTGGAGAATATTTCGATCTAAGTTGTAAAACCAAGAGCCAAGTAACAATCACGATGGCCAATCAAAACAAAGAAGAAAATGGGAACCAATGAGAGTACAACGTGAAAACAAATACACCACGTGACATGCAGAGAAAGTCGTGATTGGTTTAAGTTTTTATCTGAATTGTTCAGCATATGGTTTGAGCTTTCAAATGAACAACCAACTCCTTTGGATACAAACCTGAAGAAAACTTTGGGTTCAATCATGTAGAAGCTTAAATTCCGTTCAAAAACTGGGGGCTCAAATACACTAAACGCATCATCGTGGACAGAACATGGCTCGGCGATCTTTTTACAACACCGTCCACACATTTCAAATTCGCAGCCTTTCTTGGGCTGGTTTGAGCATCTTGCTCCTTTGCACTGATATTTTCTTGGGTTGTTTGGTTTCGTGTACGGTCTCTCTGTAGCAGCGTGCTCTTCAGCCTTCACAAACTCCTTCGCATTCCAGTTGAGGCGTTTGTCTACTCGAGGTTGGCAAACGTTCATGGGATCCTTTATACTGAAAAGTTCACCTTGTATAGAAGATGGAATTTAAAATTTTTAGAAAAACTGCATGTAATTTAATTTAATTGCGTTTTTTTATGTTTGTGGAGAATTTCTTTACTTCAAGACAAAATATCTGACTTTCAAAGAATTGAAACAACTCGAAAACAACACTATGTGCAAATTCTCCCAAACGATTCACAGCAAACATCAGACATTTCCATCACTCCTTAAGAGGCCATATTTAGTAGCAGTTTTCGGACGAAGGGCAAGTCAAAGCATAGCATTTGATCACCAACCAAAGCATTTGATCACCAACCAAAGCATTTGATCACCAACCAAAACAAACGCCAACAAAAGTGCGAAACGAAAGGAAACAAGCATTAGAGTGAAGTGAAGTATGATAAGCGATTCCTGGAGCGCTAATAACCAAGAGCTGCTGACAAGCTAGTAAAACCGCCTTAAAGTCACATACAAAGTCAATAAAGTTACCTAATTCGTTCAAAACATCAGGCGCCCATAACGTATCTGTGGCACTCCTGAAGAACGCTAATTTCTTTTCGTCGTCCCAATTCATCTTCCTCTCCAGTCCTGCGAAAACGATGTAAGCAAGTCCTTCGTCCACTGTAACTGTACATTCACATTCAGCCGTCTTACACCTACAATTGAAAGAATCTTTATCGCCTGTTGCCAGGAGATATTCCCGAACGAGCTTTCCTAATGACTCAGGGTCCCCTAGTTCTTTTCCCATGCGATGAAAAACCTCTGTAGCATCAATATTAAACCCATTGTCTTCGACAACTTGAAGAAGTTTCCCGACCGCCTCTGCGGACCACTCCTTGGTGAAAGTCCTTTGCGCGACCGTCAAAATACATGCTATGTGGGTCTCCAGAAATTTGACTCTAACTGGCGCGTTACACAGCGTAAGAATTAAACTGGAAAGATCTGCGCCGTCCTTCTCACATATCTTCAAGAACAATTCTGCAGTATTACTGGCAGACGGGCGCCAATGACGGACAGTTTCTCCCAAGATTAAGCTCAATGCGATGTTATACTCGTCAAATTCTTTGATAGACAGTTCAGCTAGATTAGAGATGAGCTTATACACCGTTTCAATGTCCCATAAACTCAAGTCGTGGTTTCGGATTTCGTGAAAGAACTCGTGGATGTGTTTCTCTAAGCAGATAGACGCGTCGGAGTCGTTACTTGATGCATCGCTGTCTTCTTCTATTTGCTCGGCTTCATTTGATTGCTCACGAGCTGAAAACAGTTATAAAGATACTGACTAAGAACTGGTTGTGGTCGAGTTTACTTGCAAGAGAGGGGAGTGGGACCTACAATAACACATTGACATGTTAAGTCATTTAATAACTTCTTAATAACCACAAAAAGGAATCACGTGCAGCGCATCGGTCTGGTTTAACATAATAAATTAATGGTGACATTATCTACGCGTCTCTCCTCCAATAGATCATCAGTTAGAACCACACAAAATAGGAGTTTAGTACAGTTTATCGTATGGAAACACTTTGAAAGGCTTATCCCGGCCCCGGCAATCGAGCCCTGAAAAGGATTGATCGCGTTCCTGACCTTGTCTCCTTCTAAGTCTGTTCCACAGTTCCATAGCATCGTCTAATGTCAAAGGGTCACGCCCATGGTCACCATCACTGCTGCTGTCATCATCATCTGTTTGTACCCCGGCGACAGCAGCAGCCAACAGCAGGTTAAGGTTGCCTCCTGCTTCAACGGCACCCATTTCTAACGGGAGAACCGTTCAGTTAAACTAACAACTCTGTAATGATTAAAATGCTGTATACAAGATGATACAACGCAATCTACGAAGAAACCTGCATGAAACAATATGTTACGTTGTGAGTAGTACTTCTTGCCACGTGTTTCATTCCGAAATTTCCAGTTTTTCTCCACCTTCCATATTGATTCACAAATTTCAGTTATTCCTTGTCATTGTTTATAGCGTGTAACAATTTTCGGTTGCAGGAAATTTTTATGCAACTTGCTTTGGAAAGTCAGTTTAAACGTAAAAGGTTGGTGATGAAATTTCTTACAGGTCTGTACAAAGCACAGCTGAGCAAAAGAGAAACGATTTCTTTGGCACAAAATTAAGAGTTTGGTTCCTCGTTCCTAGGCTTCTTTAGCTACGCGGTTACCCAGATCGTCCCAGGGGTCTATATTTGTCCCAACTCCGGGAACCCCAGGGGTGGAAAGAAGAGAGGGCCTTGGAATAAGTTGTGCGGTTGCCAAAGGTCGTTGAAGACATCACTGAAATCGGGTTATTTGAATTCTCAGGGGTCTCTGAATTTGGGTGAATCTAGACATGTTATCTTTCACTCACCAATAACAGCTATGGCTGGATAAACAGCAGGCCTTAAAACAAAGAATTAAATATACATTAATGAGATGATGATCAACAATGCTCCCTACAAAACTTCCCTGACCTTTCTCCAATTTGGTGGTACTATCTTAATTTCTTTGGAGACAGAAAAAAAAAATGAGCACAACATTGAATTCCCCCCTTGACAACCCAGAGTTCAATTTGCCAATTTTTAGGCCTCTGCATCTCCCTGCAAAACTCAACTGTCAAAGGAGATAATAACAATGCATTCAAATCTAGACATTCAGTTTAAACTGACTTACATGAAAAGTTGCTCATCAGGGTGATTGTACCAACAATTTTTTCCAAATAAGCAGCGTCCTTCCTGGTAATAGTGGCATATCTTGCAAGAGAGAAAGCATTTTGAATCTTTTACTTGTAAAAATAACTGGAAAGGAGGCCTTTTTTGGCTCAAAGATGATGGAAGTTATAATAACAAGAAAAATCCCTGGGTAGCAATCAGGGTACAAGCACACATTGTCCTTGGTCATCTTAAGCCCTTTACCTCTAAGGGTGACCAGCATCTAATTTTCTTCCGGATAAAGAAACCTAGGAAAGCTAGAAAAGCTCCAAAGAATAAAACTTAGAACTCTAGGAAAAGCTTCCAAGATTGTCTTCACTTTCCAGCAGGGTCCTGGGAGCACATATGATTCCATTAGCCAAGTGTGACTTTAAATTGGAACAACTTTCTATGGAGATTATAACCTAACCCTTTATGCCCAAACATCAGTATTCATTTTCTCCATACTGTTCTCCATAAATTTCAGAAGGTGCTAACAAGGAGAATTTGCTAAACAATCCACAGCTTCTTTAGTTGGTGATCATTTCCTCAATTCTTTTGACATTCAGGGTTGAAATTGTAAGGAGAAATTAGGTGTTAATCACTCTTAGGGGTTGAAAGGTTAATATGAAAGCCTGCCTGTCTTTCAGCCTGCTGTCAAACATTGAAAACATTATGGTAAGTTTGGTCAATGTGGATAATTTTTCTAAGTGAAGTGTCTATTTTTCCTTAACATATGAAAAGTAGCTGTTATATAAAAAATAAAAGAAAAAATGCAGGAGGAAATAGTGCACAGTAAATCTTGATTTCATAGATGAGAGCAACAATTTTCCTGCAAGGTTATTGTCTAAGGGGCACTACCAAACTTCCACTTGTGAGTGTATAAAGCAGTTTAAATTTGTCCATGCATCTGACTTATCAAGCACAACAGATATTAAATTCAGAATAATAATTAATGATCCAATAGCTATGTAATACTTACAGGGACATCTTTGCTGTCATGTGAAAACCTGCAGTTATCACCCTCCCTGCATTCTCCACGTATGTAATATCTGACAAATAATTTGGAACCAGAGATATAAGTTTCAAGTTCATCCCACAGTTTGTAGGAAGACGAGAAATTGGGACCTGAGAGTAAGGCCAGTAATTTGAATCAAAGACCACACTTTGCAAACATGAATAGTTCAATATAATCAACCATTCCCATTCAACATCTGAAGAAACAAAATTGAAAAGACTATGGAAGGACTAGGGAAACAACAGTCAGTGAAATTCACAAGGGGTAGGGGGGGGAGGAGAATTAACTGATAAGAAGATTGCATCAAAAGGCTGATAGATTGGGTTATCAAGATGTTTAAAAATCATTTGTAAACATTGTTTCATTTCTTGTGATAGTTCAGCCAAACAATTAAGCAATTTGTAACCATGATCAAAAACTTGAATGTTTTAAAACCTTAAATTCAATGCCGTTCCCACTAGGCAAAAATCTGGGTGAGGAACTTTTACCTATCAATTATATTTCACAGCAACTGAATAATAAATTTTCACGACTCCCAAGAGTGACTAGCATCATATTTCTATTAAAAGAATCACCTCCCAATCACACATTAAGGCCACAAGAATGAAGGGATATGATTAACAACAAAAAATCTCCAGATCGTTAAACAAATTCTCCTTGTCAGCACCTTTAGAAATGTATAGAAAAACTACAGCGAGTATGCAAACTGATACTGAGGTGTAAAAGGGTTTAGAGTTACACTCTCAATACAGTTCATAGAGGAGAGAGAAATCATTGACATTTACAAAAAAAAAAAAGCCATAAATATTACCTGCAAAATCCATTAGCCTTCCTGCAAGATAAAGAGAGTGGCTGTGAGTGTGATCAAACCCTTTTCAGATAAGTAAGTTGTATGAATTCAATATCTTCTCGAAAATATGGACGTCTACCCGTCAGAATTCCGGGGTTTTCATTAAATCTAAATTGAACCAGCCAACTTAAAATATAGCAACACCAACTGAGAGAAATCGCAGGATACCGACTTGTATTTATGAACTAATTAGCCAAGTTTATAAGTCCTCGATCGATGCGATTTCGTAACGAACATATTAATCGTTTTGCAGCCAGCCATCGATCGATTTTAATGACTGTAGCGTTAACAAAACTGTTGTTAGAGATAAGTTGGTAATCGACCAAATGATACATTCTAGACCAGCAGTTAATGACGCTAAGTTGATTTTACAATCACGCTTACCTCTCGGCAGCCGATGCAGTCTCCATCTTTAAAAACTCCCGCGGTCTTTCTTCCCGCGAAACGGCTACTTTATATGGCAGAGAGTCATGTGACTGATTCAGATGCACTTCGGTCTCAAATATCAGCGGTTACTTCAGAAGCCAATATGGCGGACAAGAAGGTATTAAATTTGTGTAAGTCACTATTTTCATCCAGTTCTTCTTCCATTAATGCAAAATTTTTCAGATATTTCACGAGATATCTCTCGAGTACAGCTACTAATCTGAACGAAGAGAACAGGATCTGTTTTGTTACTGATGGGTGTAGTACCGAAGAGTTGGAGACAGTGCAAGATTTAGTTGTCGGTAATTTAGAAGTTTATGGAAATTTTATTTCCGAAGAAGAGCAAACTTTACTGTTGAAGGAAATCGAACCATATTTGAAGAGACAAAAGTATCAATATGATCACTGGGACAATGTAAGTGTCATTACCGCTAGTAACATTATGGAATAAATAGTGATAGTGCGATCTGTTTAATTTACGTGTAACGATATTGTTTACAACTTTACAGAACTCTAGTAACATATTTTCGGGTCCCCTTTCTGTCAGAATTTGGTTACGTTATTTTTTAATCAAAAATTCATCGGATCACATTGAGATCTGATCTGAGGTCTTCAGCTCAGGTTAGCATAGCAAAAAATATTGAAATTTTCCCACATAATTTTTTAACAGGCAAAGATAAAGTTACATAGTATTCTTACATTAACCCAGTTCAACTTTGTGTCAACCTGTAGCTTAAGCAAATAATTCACGTACAACCCAATGATTGAGGACTTTTTCATCACGGAATCTTTAATTCTTGCAGGCAATCCATGGGTATAGAGAAACAGAAAAGTCAAGATGGAGTCAAGAGTGTTTGTCAGTTTTCCAGAGAATTCGAGATGTTGCATTCAAGCCTGGCATGGAACTCTTGCCCCATGTTCATGCATTAGATCTAGCTAAAAACGGGTATGTTAAAGCAACCAAATGATTATTAATTCTTTAACTCCCAGAAGTGATTAAAATGTAAGAAATAAAGTACTTTTTCAGACCCCTAGCTTATTTTCTATAATCTCAAACAATTATCCTCCTAAGTGTAAATGAAGGCACTGCATCTTTACCTCCACTTTGGTAATTACATGATTGTAACTGCTAAGCTTTATGTCCCAGACTTGACTGACATGTAACTTTTCCCTTTAAACTGTAATCAAAATTTTCAGGTAGAGGTTGTTATCTTGATCTAACACCAAATGCTTGTACCTAATTTACAAGGAAATGTGTAGCAGCCAGAGGGGAGAATTAATGATCAGATACTGTGAATTAGATGGTTAAATGGTAAATAACTCCTTATACATGTGAATGAACTAAACCCATAACAAAATTTTTCAGGCTGGAGACAAACTGTACAGGGATTGTTTTACAGGGATTGTTTTTGGTTGAACATTGAGCTGTGCACATGACAGTTCCTATTAAGATCCATGTGTGTGTTATTTTCATATGTGTAGTTGTCAACAATGGATAATAGTTCTTCAATGTCCAATGCTGTTGAACACTAAACCCTTTGATCACTACAGTGACTAGCATCAAATTTCTCTTTACATTATCACCCCTGAATCACATACTAAGGTCCTAGGAATTAAGGAAATGATCACCAACTGAAGAAGTTGATCATTTTTACACACATTCTCCTTGTCAGCATCTTAGGAAATTTATGAAGAACTGTATGAAGAATAGTAAAGAATGTAAAGGATTAAAAGTGTATTAGGTGCTTTAGGCTCCTGTACAGTTATACTGTTCGAATAAAAATACTGCTCATTGTTTGAAAAAAAGTACCAGTACTAAACCTTATTTCAGTCATTCTGTTTGCAACATTTGGTTGCAAGCTGTCTCTTAGCAAGGTTTAAATTACTAAAATTACATGTATTTTAATATCTTATTTTGTTTCAGGTACATTAAACCCCACATTGACAGCATTAAGGTAACAGATGACTTCTTAAAATATTTGCTTGAAAACAAAATCAATCAAAATTAGTAAATGTTCCAGTTACTATTAAATTTAGTACAGTACTACTTTTAAACCTTTGCATTTTAAGTCTGACATCTCTTAGTACTCCAAAATAAGTATGCAAAAATGCATGAACACACACACACACAATTTTATATAAGGAACTATAGTTTGGATGAAAACCTTGTTTTGTGGAGTGTAACTGTCAAGTAAATGGTTTTAAAAAGAAGTTTATTTGAGGAGGCAAAGAAGTGAAACATCATGAATTTTGTCTTTTCAGTTTTGTGGAGCAATAATATCTGGCCTTAGTCTACTGTCACCTTCAGTTATGAGATTTAAACATGACAAGCTTTGCAATGTCAAAGTTGATACCCTTCTCCAGCCAAGATCACTCTATATCATAAGGTATATGCATGCAATGCCATAAGCATAATAGTTAAAAATAAAACATGAATGATACAATATCCCAATAATTTTGTGAGGTGCTGGTTTGTTTTAGCATTACTACATTACACCAGGGATATGTTAAGTAATGCTTCATGTGAGTTTCAGCATTAAGGTAATATGTTGATCATAAAATCCAATGGTTAGAAGCTTACAACCAGAAATGCTTTTCCTCTACTCCACACTGCTATTTACTCAACAGGTCTAGGCAAGATAGACTTATTGGAAAACACTTTCTATTAGGAGCATTGTAAGTAAGAGACACTTATGGAAAATGAGTAACACATTTTTCTTTCATTCAATTAGAGATGCTGTAAGGTATGAATTTACCCATGAAATATTGAAAGAAGAAGAATCTGTTTGGAGAGGAAAGACTGTGCCTAGAGACAGAAGAATATCATTAGTCCTCAGATGTCAACCTTAGCATTAATCAATCATCTTTTATAAATGGCTATGTTCTAGATCCATTTATTCATAATGCTAATATCTAATTATTTAAAAAATATACTATACATATTTTCACTGCCATTTTTCTCTGCTGAGAATAAAAATTGAATGAATAATTAGGGCAGACATTTAGATAATACATTATTGTTAATCAACATGTGCAACATTTCAGAACGGTGAGCCCATATTTAGAAGTCTACTGTAGAGTTTCCTCATTGCATGAAAACATTAAAAACATTCACTGCAAACTGATTGTGTTAGGTGTGGTGTAAGAGGTTTGGATATGAGCTATGAGTATGGACTTTTTCAAGGTCACAGCTGCCTTTTCAACCCTTGGCAGCCTCTTGTGAAAAATTTACTGAGACATGTGGTTGAATGATGATTTTGGTTGAATCATGGCAAATACTGTTGGGTACCAGAGGACCTTTTCTATAAAGTCTCGGTAACTAAACAAGCCTGTAAAGATGTCCTATCTTTATTCAAGATGGGGGTTTAAAAAGTTTCGAAATTAAATTATAGTAAAACTATCAGCTGAAGGAACAAATTGGACTGGTTAGGGCACCAGAACATGCTTCTTTAATTTTTAAATTTTGATTTTAAAACAAGGCTTCAGATAAGTTACTAGAACTTTGCCATGGAGGTCTGATCATGTCCAGTGACTTTCAAATCCAATTTCATTATTAAAATTGTGCTAATCCACCAGTTAAAGACCAAGTTGTTTTTCATGTGATTTCTGGTGAAATACAAATGTTACACCACTTGACCAAGCTCCTTTCAACATGACATCATCCAGTCCCTTGCGATCTGCACAGTGATTCCACTGTGACAGATCTGCACTGCAGTCAGTACCCTCAGGGGGTAAGGTAACCTGAATGTTGTTTACACATCTACGACACTTGAATCTGTGCAAAACATGAAAAAAAAAGTCAGTCATGACAAAATGATTTAGGTGATGGGAGCATTATTGTGTTAAATCAGGTAAAGTTAAAGTGACAAGAATGTAAAGAGGCAGTGCACTCAGTGGTTTTGAAAATCATGTAATTTTTCACAAGATATTCTTTTTCGTTGTTGTCCTCTCTTGTGTGTGTGTGTGTGTGTGGGGGAGAGGTGGCAGGAGGAAGAGGTCACAATTTTATTTCTGGCAACCATTTTAAGCCAAGAGGTAACTTTTGCCAAAATTTGAGCTTAGAGCCTTGCAAGAAATGAAAAGGTCAAAGTGGCAAATGGTTTCTGTTGGAACCTAAGCTTGATTCCTTTGAGTGCAAGAGTCCCAAAAGAGAGTTTCCACTGTGTGCATTGGGTTCAAATGTTCCAACTTACTTGTCATGTGTATCACTAAGAGTATCCTCATTCAAACGAAATAAGTCCTTCAACTCCCCCACTGAGAAGTGCCTTTCTACATCTTCTTCTTCATCCACGACACAACTGCTAAGTGCTTTTTTGTGGGCTTGTCGCTGGAAAATCTTTTCCTCGATTGTACCTGTCTAAAATAGGAAAATAATTATACTCACAACAAGATCTTAACTAGTGTGACAAAATCTGGCAACAAACATAATAGGGTAATTAAGAATTATTAACTGAGTTGATGACATAAATTGGTCACCATAAAGAGTTTCAAAGCTGGTGGCCAAGTTACATTATCAACTCACTTAATAATACTAAATTACCTTGTTATACTCTCCCACTGATGCAGCAGCACAGTTTCTTTTGAAACTCACCCCCTTTTTTCATTTGAAAAATATTATGTTCATAAACAAAAAATATTGTTAGGATTGTGTCCCTCTCATTAACTAAAGCCAATCATGCCCAAACTCACGTTTGAGAACTTGCAAAGAAAATTCCTACTAGAAATTAATTTTTCTTTTAACTTCCATGAGTGACCAAGACAGAATTTCTTAGTTACAAAATATCAGCAGACAAGTGAACAGATTAAAGGAAAATATCAATCAAACTATTATTAATGGATCCAATACCATATTCTCCAAACTAACATCATAAGCATTGTTTGGCTGACAGTAGGGAGAATTACTAAATAAAACAAGATATTGGGAGTGAAAGGGTTAAAATGGCCACTTCCAAGATGCTGAAAGCCTCAGATTTAAATCAAGGGTAAGGGTAAGGTCTTTTGTATAAAAAAAAATTATTTTTCCTTCTATGAAATTAATAATGCTCCAGCATTAATTTAATGGGGTATTTGTAACTTAGAAACACCTTATTAAAGCTTGGGATTGAATTATTGTATCAAGAACCTTTGGGTCATATTTTATGGTGGAACTTACCGATAACAGTCTGTATATGAAGACCTAAAGAAGAGCAGTACATGATTTAGAATACCATTAGAATACAAATGTTGCATAATTTCCTAAAATTTGATTCACAACCTTCCCATAACTATACAGCACTCTGCTAGACACCAAAGAAGCCTCATTAAAATTTTACTTTTGTTCAAGCACATAAATTGTTAATTAGGAGTTAAAAACCTGATTCTCTTATTGAAGTAAGCCCATCTATTTCCCCTGCAAGTTCTACCTTAGCTCAATTTAAAATCTATACTAATAATAATAATAATAATAATAATAATAATAATAATAATAATAATAATAATAATTATGTAACAAACCTTTTTCTTCTGTCCATCTCTCCATACACGAGCCATTGCCTGATCATCATTAGCAGGATTCCAGTCAGGATCAAACATTACAAGTCTGTTAGCACCAATCAGATTCAAGCCACACCCACCAGCTTTACTACTTAGCATGAATACAAAGTCACCACTCTAAAGCAAAAAACAATGAAGCACATTTAATAAATAACTTTTAAAACAGTAACTGCCAATTTGTCCACATTGATTATTTTATAGAGAAGTGCAAACATACACATAGAGTCAGATAGGATAACTTGTTAAGAGAACTACAGTATGTACTGTACATGTAAATCAGCAGTTCCACATATCTACAGATCCAAAAGTTTTGATCAACCAAGTGGCAATCAGTTGTGATCCAAGAATTTATTTCAACATAATAGCTTTTTCCCTTTCCAATCCAATCAGAATTTCATATTCAAAAGAAAGTGATGCTACACAAGCTGATTTGTAATCACATTAATTGAAACAATTCTGTAACACTTCTTTCTCGAGGTATAACTAGTGACAGTCATATGTGACCTACTTTGATGATGTTAAATGCAAGAAAAACCTTTGGGTGACACTGTTAGTGGTTTCTGAAACACTGTAACATTACCTTGACATCTCCTTGAGATTATGTAGTTGAAGCTTTGAATCTTAAATCATTCCAAAATCAAGATAATATTGGATTGATTGTACCAAAGATCACTATCTGAGTGAACCATAAATGCTTCAGTCATTTTTATTAGTACTAATGCTACTTACATGAGGATCATTAAAGCGGTCAACAATCTTTTGCCGCTTTTTGATAGACATGGTACCATCAAGACGAACATACTGGTACCTGAAAAAAGTTGTATAACCATTATAAATTGTGATAATTTTTGGTTTTGGAGGTTATGATCTAAACTGTAGCAAGACATGAATTGGTGAAGAAATCATTCCAAAACAGGACTATAGTTTAATCTTGTTAAGGGTCTTTTCAGTAATAGATGAAAGAAGACATCATCAGTGACACTGGGTGTACCTCATATGCCACTTTTTTGTTCTTACCACATTTTGATGTCATCTGTGTTCTATTACTGATTAGATGTATGGCAACATGGAATCTGTTTGTTAAAATTGAACTTGTCTAGCAGGTGGTTATGAGCTTAACACAAAATGTACAGTGCATTTCCAATCTAGGGTTATCATATTAAACCTGCATATCTTTAGTAATCACTTTGACTTTCTATCAATTTGTTAGCAAATGTCGCAAAATGAGTGACATGGTCAATGGATTTTAGACAACTTACTTGAATGCAAAACCTACCTTCTTTGTCTACAAAGTTTCTCAAACAAGTCCAGGGTTTGAGTATAATTAGAAACCAATACAACCTGTTGTAAAACAGTTATACATCACAACTCAATAACACTGTAAAAGATAATATATTACTCTCATTATGAGACAACAAAACTAATGTAAATGAAAAAAATATACACTTCTGATCGGCTGAAAATGAGTACATTCTCATCTAACATAAGTGCAAATTTAAAACACAAGTGCAAATTACATGCACGCTTAGAAAATTTTGTTAGTCTTGTCTCTTCATTTTTTTCATGTACATTATTAACAAGTAATAACATGATTTCTCTTGCAATTTGGCATAATGAGCACTTGTAAATTTTTCAAAGACTACAAACTGCACTTGCCCTTCAGGCTCATGCAATTTTGTTGTCTTTGAAATTTTACTTGTGCTTATAAACATCAAATTGCAATCAAAATCATAGGATGCAAATAAAAGATGTTATACTAACATCCTTTATTTGCATATCTCCATAATAACACTTATAACTGATCAATGAGCACTTAAATATTGATGAGAGTACTCAAGTTTCCAGGAAACAATCAATGCTCTTAAAACAGAAAATTATGGTATGAACAGCATTGTAGATTAGTAAGTATTACTGGCCACATAAAACATGTTTGAGCTAGTTCCTTACCTTGTCTGTAGTGGTAGATTTTGTCATGGCTAAAATGTAATCTAATACTTGCATTTTTCCTGAAACAAAATAAGATCATAGCAACAAATCAATAAATGATAAATCATTTTTAATCAGCTTGGCCAAAGAGGGGACTGTAAATAAACATGTGCATGTAATGGAGTTTAAGTAGGATGTTTACCACTGTTAACATAAAATTCTCAAAAAACAACCCTCTTACCAGAAAAAAAGACAAATAATAAAAAGTATTTTTTTATTTAAATAAGCTAATCTAAACATTCTTGTTTATTTAATCCTTGAAGTTACTGACTTCTAACTTCTCCCCAAAGTATCATCCTTGAACAAAAAAGATTTAAGGAAGTAATCACAAATTTAAGAAGCTCCTGATTGTGCAAAGGGCAATACACAAAATAATAACAGAGTACTATAGATAGCAAGATGACACAAAATTCAATTTTTGCTTTCTGCCATTTCATGTCATCTTAACCTACCCATACATGTCTAAAAGCCTAACAGATTTTTGGATACCAACAACTTCAACTCACCAGAGAGTTCTGGCTGCACCTGCTTGAGGCTGAAGCTTTTGGGAAACAAGTCCAGTATTCCTTCAAAGCCATCTTCTCCCATTTGTGCCTTGTCATAGATTAATTCAGGATCTGAGACAAAAATGGAGCAAGTTATTAACATTTCAACGCTGCACATGATGACTGCTAACTGAAATCAATGTCAGTACCTGAGCACCTACCCTTCCCCTAACCCAACAACATACAACTGGTCGCTTGTTAAGGTTACAGTTGGGTTAGGGGAGGGGCAGGCGCACAGATGTTAAAATACTGAGATTGATTTGTTGAATCAATCTTATATCACGTGATTGTATTCAACTGAAGATTGCTCTAAACAGTATATACTTACGATTGGTCAATTTTTTTAGTTGTGTAATAAAAGCTAGGGATGATGCAGACATTCCAGATGCAGACTTTGCTTTTGTCAGCTCCATTCTCAACACTTTTGACTGAATAAGATGTTTGTAAAGTTCTGTCTGCAAAGGAGTCATGCGGCAACACACAACCTGTTCAACTGTAGGAGAAATAGGAAAATGTCACTAAACCTCTAAAATGTTATCTAGTCATTGAAATGAAGAAAAAAGTCTTAACAAAGCTAAACAAAGGAACAAAGCATCCACATGTTTAACAGTGACCAGAATTTTAGAGGAACAGAATCAAATGTCACTAATCACTTTTTTTTAAAAAAAAAGTTGCATCAAAGGTTTTATCTTTCCTTTTCCTACTTGCACCTTTCACAAGTAAGCAAAAAAAAAAAACAAAACAAAAAATGCAAAAAGACCAACCTTTAACTGGCAGGTATTTGGACAGTATTGAAGCTGTAAGGTAAAGAATACACAAAATTTAAGATATCATTGACAAAGCAGAGCCCTTTTTTGCCATAACAAATAGTATAAAGTGAGAGAAATAAGAGAACTGTATGGTGAAATTTTGACAACAGCCACCAAGATCCACATATAACTAAGACGTTATTGTAAACTTTCAAATAGTACATTTAACAATTATTCCATAAGTGTACATTTTAGTGCCAAGTTGGCCATAACCAATCTCATACCCAACAAGCAGGAATAGAATAATTGTTTCATTAAATTTCATTAATCCTGAATGTTTAAATAATTTAAGCAAAAATTTTCAGTTTCCAACATGTTGCAATGCAATTCCATGAAAGGTGACTCGGAATATGAGCTGATAATTGGAGTTGAGTGAACCACTCAGAACACAAGAAATGCAATATCTGGAGTTGAAAATTTAATAATTACCAGTTCTTCTGATGATGCACTTGTTTACCAAAGATGCAAGCTATAAAAAAATAATACAGAAATGCAAGATCAAATCCTCACTTTGAACAGTATCTAATTAATTAATAATTAGGATTATTTTTGGTTTTACCTCTGCCAGTTTTTCTGCTCCTTTCTTGTGATCTGCATCAGAAGCATCAGCATCTCTCCCTCTCAGAATAGGATTCTCAAATTTTCTCTTAAATTCTGATACTGTGCCTGTAATAAATTTTTGTAAGGATCAGTACTAAAGGAGAACGTACTTACTGATACTAGGGCGTAAAGGGTTAAAACCTCACTCCAGACAAAGGTATTAATAATTATCATTAGTATACAACACACAAGTGAATAGTGCTTTTCACAAATGCTGATTGGCTAGTTCAGAGTATTCAGAGAAAGTTCAAGAGTATCCATCTCTTGCAGCCAATGAGACCAAAGTACCTGTCAAGAGTTTCATTTCTGACCATTTTTTGGTGTATTGAAAGAAACAAACTTATTTTTTTGGTATCTGTGTGGTATTACACTAAACCAATTACTTGCCTCAGTGTTGTTAATAGTGGTGGATAATTGTTAATTATAATTAATAATAAAATAATCTGAGGATTACTTCATCATTTCAATGTCTCCATGTTTGTGTTCACATCATGGAGCAGTGCAAATTAACAACAATTTCTCACTCTGCCTACAAGCTACAGTAAAAAACTTTTTGTTATTGTCCTTTCATATTCTCAGGATATCTGCTTAAAAGAGGTTTAATACACAAGTGCATTCATCAAATTTATATTCATTTGATACAAGTTAAATAAATGACCTACCTAAAATTCCACTATTTACAAAATGAACAAGACTGAAATATTCCAATAAGTCATTCTGAATTGGGGTACCTAGAAAAAAAAACAAACAACGTACAGGAATGCTCTAAAATACAGAGTTCATACAAGAATGTTTTCAATTTTGTTAAGTGGTTAAATAGGAAGAACTGAGTGTGCTTCCAGGTGCCTGTTGAGAGAGCTCAGACTATTGATACAAGTTGTAAACCAGAAGAGGATTTTTCTGTTCAGTTATTATTTAACTGTGATATGACAGTATGAGGTATTCTATCCACCTGATAAAAGCACCCTTCGTGTTGTCTTTAATTTATCAAGAGCCTGATATGTCTGGCTCTCTAAGTTCTTTAGTCTATGTCCCTAAAGAGAAAAGAAAAATACCAGTTGAACTTACAGTGTGTCTAACGATGTAAAGTGCATCACAAGAAATCAAGTAAAACATACATGTACATTGAGATTTTCATGCGCAAACAGGTCATGATATGTTATCTCAGCTGTATCAATAGACTAAAATTTTAATTTGTTTTTTTCACCTCATCACAGATGACTAATCCTACAGGTCCAGACTGTAACACAGAGGCATGAAGTCGAAAAGTTTCATATGAAATGATTAACACAGGGTTAGCTGTACGCTTCCCTTGCTGAGACATAAACATTCCTAAAAATATCAGAAAAGAACAAATGCTTTAAGAAAACAATGAGACTTAACTTAAAAGTTGAAATGTCTTCTCTAAATTAAAAATAGGACTTCAATTTTTAAACCATACAAATACAAAGTAACGTAACAAATCTTTAAATTGAAAAAAAGAAAGGGTTGTGCAGAAGCCTAAACTGACCTCCAATGTAACACCTTCTCCCACTGTTTTGAAAAGGAATGTAAGACAATTTGTAAGGAGAATCTAACATTCTATCAGTAATCAATAGGGGTTTTTTCCCACCCACTCCTTCATAGTCTTACCAAGGTTTTTATCAATTTGATCTTTGGTTCCAGAGTCTATAGCCAATGCAGAAATTCTACCACCAAGCCACTTGTGAAGTTCATTATACCAGTTCTGAAACCAGAAAGTCAGAAGTCTGAAACTTGGATTTCTGAAGGGATTTAGCAAAGTCTTTCACTTAGCTTAGTCCTTCTAACCCCCGGCAGTTTTTTGTTTTCAAGTACTGGTAAGGAAAGACATTTTAAAGAAAGTTTCCCAATTAAAATATATTATCTTACAGAGCTCCAATATATGTTGGGTTTTCTTGACCCTTTAGCTCCCATGGGTGATCAATACCAAATCTCTCCCCCTATTATCCATAAGGGGATTATTAGTTGATCCAATACCAACTTCTCTGCACTAACATCATAAGAATTGAATGGCAGATGGTAAGGAGAATTACTAATGGGTTTTTGGGAGTGAAAGGGCTTAATTAAAACACTACACAGGGAAAGACACTTGAAAAAAGGTACTTTCTCAAACCACAGGATAATTTTTTTCCCTTCAAGCCCTGATCACTTCTTACCATTCCATGTTCAGTATTTGCACTGGACCAGCTCTCCTCAGTAAAGCTACAAACTAAAAATGGTAGATGAATCTTAACCCTTAACCCTTTAACTCCCACAATCTGATTGTTAATTCTCTCCTCCAGCCGATACAGTATTCTCATTACCAGTATACTGAATAATGTATGGATATTGTAAGGAGAAGTTACAAGTTAAACACTTCTGGGTGTTGACAGGTTAATCAAAGTAATCAGTGTTTGCTCCCCAAAAATACATTTCTCAGCAGGCTACTACTTACATGTACATGTAGGTGACAATTTTGAAGTATTCACTTCTATTTTGAGCTCCTTTAAGAAACTTAGAGACAGAATGAAACCATATTAACAAAATAAATGTGAAATTATAAAACTGTACCTTCACAAGACTTGATGGTGCAACAATTACCACTTTGCTGGCTATTGGCTGACCTGCATGGAAACAAATGAACAAGTTTATGGAAAACTGAAGTGTCTGATCAGAAAACACAGGTAGTAACAAGCTGATTTCATGGCATGGTAAATGTCATACATGTAGGATGGAAGAGGAATTGGTATTGTACATAGTGCTTTTATAAACATATGGTAGAAATGAGTATATTGGAATAGTGGGTGGGATCCAGGGTGGATTTGTAGGGCCTCAATGGTTTCTTGTTTCTCGAGAGGTTCCACCTTCCTTGCAAAAATTGGAGACTCTTGCAGTAGTGTTATCCTGTCATTTGAGATCTTTTCCAATTCATGTTGCTTTGTTGGAATTCAATCAAATTGAACAAATTTGCAGAGGATCAAAGTTATGTCTAGAATACCATGAAGTTTGTGTAAAGGCTAAAAGCCAGTACCCAAGCAGGTACCGCTAGATCGACCTGCTGCACCACTGCTGTCAAAACCCCTGGATACAGGTTAGAACCCAAGAGCATTAAACACCAATCATGCAAAAACATTAGTACTTCACCCAGTGAATTCATAAAGACAAGAAGTGAACACAGAGGCACAGTGCTGCTCAAAAGGAAAGTTGACAGTCTTGCCTTAGAACTCCATCCTCAAGGACGGAGAATCAAGTACCAAGAATCAGAGATCAAGGACCTAGAACTAAGGATCAAGAAGCTCAAAAAATTTTTTATTCTTGTGTACATAACAATAGTGACAGACAAAGCAATATAGGTTAAACATAAGCCTAATAATTAGTACTTCCTCACCTTCCGGCCCTTGTTTCTAAAGATAAAAGAGCAAAGAGTAAATTAGTGGATTAAGTTACAAGATAACAAGTGGCATTGTGGCAACTAGGGTGAGTTAAATAATTTTATTATCATCATGATATTAATTACAAATAAACCTATATTATGGACAATGTACTTACCACCAGAGTCCAAATCAGAGTGATACATTGCAACGTTTTTCCTAACCCCTGGAAAAAAATCAACCACTACTATTATCATTTAAGTTAAAAAGTTTCATTGTAATTTAAATGAAAATGGATTTAAACCATCATACATGTATAGTCAAAATGATTTTAAACTTGTTCTCTGTCCTTAATATATGTACATTAAATAAAGCAAAATCCAAATCAAAACAGTTTGAAATAATTTAAACCGAAACCTTATAAAACTAGACCATGTGCATTTAAATGAGAGAAAATAAAGTTTATAACTCAGGGTTGTCAAAATAAGCCAGAAACCGGTAATCAAAAAACCAGTCACTAAAAATATTATTCATGACCCTGATAACTACTGACATTGTACAACTTCATGAAAAGGGTTCTGTTGGTAAATGAAGCCGACTGTGTACTTCATACTCATTTCAGGCATCCTCTCAGCTTATTTAAACCTCAGGTATATCCAAGGTTCCCAGCCCCTGATCAGAAAACGAACCCACACTCCTTGTTCAAACAGAGTTTGAATAAGAAAAAATAGCAGAAATAAATCCTAGAGGTTACCAGATCACAAGTACACAGTGATAGCTCAAATAATTTTAAAAAGAACACACATAGTAATGGTTGGACTTGTATATCATTAAACTAACCATTTCATCTGCCATTATACATCCATTGCTGCCTTGAATCCTTTGGCCAGTTACACAGTCATACAAAAACTTGACACCCTTTAAAACAAATAATTACCATAATTTCGGTTTTTTTTTCGAAATTATTTACAATAGCAAAATTGAAAAAAGTTGCATAATCTTGATTTATTTTTTTAAGGAGAACATATTTCATATCTGACTAAAAAATAGTGGTGCCTGAACCATTCAGGAGTTACCATTATTGGCAAACTCCTATGCTCCTTATAGTTCTTGCTATTACCTCTCTCTGATGGGGACGAAGAATTTTACCCAGCAGTGGATCAACAACAACTGTTTAAAAAAGAAAACAGAACAGAAAAAGCTTAATTCCCAGTTGTTTCTAAACTTTAATTCTAGGGTATGATAATATCACATCACCAAGAAAAAAAAAAATTAAACCCCAAAGTATGAACCTGCATCAACCCTTTGTTCTTTAGAAGTGACTAGCTTCTACTTTCTCCTTACCATATCACCCCTGAATCACACATGAAGGTCAAGAGAATAAAAGAAATGATCATCTACTAAAGAAGTTCTTGGTTGTTAAACAAATCCTTCTTGACAACACTTTAGAAAATGTGTATAGAGAACAGTATGGATAATATGCATACTGATATTAGGATGTTAAGGGTTAAAATATTAAATGTAAATCTTACCATGCACTTCCTGGAGCTCTCTGAGTAGCAAAATTGATCAAAGAAAGAAACAAAAAAAGGAGAATATCAAGCTCTGTTAAAGACAAGGTATTATTTTTGAGAGGAAAAAATCAACAAGAGGGCAGCCCCTTATAATTAAAATTAAGTGCCTTCCAAAAATGTGTAAATTAAAGTTTTTCTCACAGACAGCTACCATAAGCCAGCTAACATAGTTACATTCAACTGGCTTTTGATCCTTGTCAATGAATCATTGCCATTTACAGCTATTTCAATTTATGTTGTCAGATCAAAGCTTCAAGGGTACAGGACAAGACCAAAAGGCGGTATGGGTAGATTAGAATTAATTTTAGGCTTTCGGGGTTGTTGGCACAAGATGGACATGGAGGCTGAAAATACAATTAGTATTGCCTTGTGTGTCTTAACAAAGAATAACAAGAACAGATATGACTCCTAAAATCCCATATTCCCCTTCGGTCTTGTCTTGTAGGCTTGAGGCTTTGATCTGACAACGTAAATTGAAATAGCTGTATACAGTATAGCTGATAACTATAGGAAGACACTGAAAAGTTATGCAAACTATAATTCCATACTTACCGGTCTGCTGTGAGCTTTTCATGAGCTGTAAGTTGAGGAGGAGAGTAGAGTACAAGAGCATCATCTTCAAAAGGATCATGAAGAGCTGTACGAGGTCCTTTCCTTTTGATACCAAGCCCTCTTGAGAAGGTGCATCCTGTGAAACAGCAATTTTCAATTGCAATACAAAAGCACAGTATTGGATTAATCTCTTTCCCATGAATAGAGAAGTAAATTTTGTTAACACTTAACTGCTGGATAGCAATTTGTCTGTGGGCAAAATTAGCTTGTTTGTACTTTGAGTTTCTGTCATCCCATTTGATGAGCTGTTCTGGTTAATTTGGTTTTAAATTTATAACACTCAATCAAAAGAAGTCTATTTATGTGGACTGTGGCAAAATAAAAATGCTTTAATATAGATAGAATTATAATATAGCAAAACTCTAGTTACCAAACCTTACCTTGGTAGTTTGGTATTGGGACCTTGAAAGGCTTAGCAAGAATCTTGCGTATTAAATCTTCCTGTGTGGATACATTCAATTTACAGTAACACTATTAACCCTTAAGAGTGACCAGCATCTAATTTCTCCTTACAATATCACACTTGAATAACACATTAAGGTTAAGAGAATAAAGGAAATGATCACCAACTAAAGAAGCTGTTGATTGTTAAACAAATTCTCCTCATCAGCACCTTAGGAAATGTATAGAGTAGAGTATGGAGAATATGCATATTGATGTTAGGGTGAAAAGGACATGGGAATCATTTCAAATCACATTCTCTTGATAAGCATTTTAGACAAATTTAACTTTGCATACAACAACCTTTTAACTATAAATAAGTAAGATATGTGAGGTGCATTTTTAAACCATTTGTAACTGAAGAGAACACTCAAATGAAATAATGACACACATGTAAACAAACAGAGGAAGACAGATATCATACATGAGCTGAAACACTGTTTGAGGAATGGTTTGCTTGAGTGGAAAGTGGAGCAAGCACTCTTCTGTCAACATCAGGGTTATCATCTGCCTTGAATGATCCAGGCTTGAACTTCTGAGCCAAAAAGAAACACAGTAACTACAACTGTTGTTTACTGTTCGGTCAACTTTATGGTTGATCTGTGCATACACCTGTACAATTTATCGATCCCAAAGCTGATCTGATCATGAAGTTAACGTACTGCATGTAGTTAATACGTGTTTAGGAATACGAAAACTTAAAGTGTAACCTTAGACATCAAGCTAACTCTCAGGTGACCTTACTCTTTATTGCCTCTGTCGCAAAGTTAATAATTTTCAATGGTTACTAGGCTTGCTTTCATGGAAACCAAAACAGACGATTCCGTTCCGTCTCACCTGTTTACGTTTGTTCCCAATTTCTTCGTCATCTAAAAACCCTTGTTTCCTTTTGAGAATTTGGCTCGGAGCAAGAGATCTTCTCTGTGAATGAAAAATATTGTAAAGAGGAAATTTTAATATAAATTTAAACTAAATCTGCAAGGAGATAGAAGTTTTTGTCAGTGAAGTAGGCTGCGCAGAGATTAAATCACGAACGTCGAGGGTATGTGGTGACAAACACTATCTAAATCGCTCTAGAACTCATGAATTACATACCTAACTCCATAGGAACTTACCATGGCTCTAAATGTCTAAAAACTCGGTTAGAGCTTATCATGGAAACATGAAGAAACAGTGACACGACACTTGAGATTCGAAAACGGCGCCATGTTAAGCTAACGCGCAGATTATCAATTTACTATGTACCAGTCCCAAAGCAACGAAGTAAATTAACCGTGAGAGGACTGGAAAAATGTGAAATGAGGGACTTAAATTTTCCTACTCGGCAATAAACCTCCGATCAAAAGCAGCATTATTTAAACAAAATTTTCAAACAACATAATTTTCAACTTCAAGCCGTGTTGATATTGTCAATAGTTTACACATCTATATAAAAAATGGGCGTAAAGTAGAATAGCAAAGTAATATATCATCCCTGAATCTAAATTGTTAATATCGTTAACAATTTAAACATTTCTGACAAAAATGGGCAAAAAGCATAAAAACAAAGTAATTTATGGGTGTTTTTCTCCCTAACTTGTCGGAACGAGTTTCTTACACGACTGGTGATCTATGATTCTTGAGTGAATACAAGCATGAGACTAGGAACTGTTTAATTGTCCTGTTTCTGGCACCATATCTAGAGTTCCAGTTGAACGAAATTATCAGGTCAAATACACTAACAGGATATCATGTCACTCACCTGAAATATTTTCTAAACTAATCTAGGAAGTTACTTCGAAAAATTTTGGCTCGTTAGTGTTTATGTAGTCTAAATTTCCTATAAATCCGAGAAACATCACAAGAAACCAGTCGCTTATTTTAAAAACGACCAATAACTAGTAAGGACTGGTGTTGTATGACGAATGCTACTACTACAATTCTAGACTAAGCACTGCCACAATTTATCGTCAATAACTTCTCATATGCTTGCCTCATTAGTAGCTACTCTACAGGATATCATGGGGAGGGTTTCGTGACATCAAAAAAAAAAAAACTTCTAATGATGAAAGAGACTACTCAAGCTTGTAAGCCTTACTTCGGAAAGAGACGCACGGAATGGGGGTGGCTGGGTGAGGAAAATCGATGCAGAGACTGTGGGGGCATAGGCATTTCCACCCCAACTACACTGAACTCTTAAACGACCCTGGCCAACAGAAATGTGTCGCTTGGAAAGTTCCTTCGCAATCTGGAGACCAGTTGTCTGCCTCCATCAAGAGGAGGTTTCGCACAACCAGCGGGGCCATTAACGGAAAGCGTAATAATCCTTGAATTATATGACTGAAAACAGCGTAAATCCGGTTACGCTGAACTCCCGGCTTCGTTGAGTAAAAAGTGGAAAAAAATGATGGTGAAAGGTGTTTTGCCTTCTCTGCTGGAGGTAAATTCAAGAATTACAATTTTAGGCAAAAGAGAAGTAAACAGTATCATTTACTTAACGGATTACTAAGGCGTAGTATGTAAGCTTAGATTAGCACAGTTGGATCATACTGCGCAAACATGAACGCATGAATCTCACAAAGGAAAAACCTTTCCAAATGTTATCCAGTGGCTAAAAGGTATTCAGGAGGCTGAATTTCAATTAATTTAAGACGTTCTCAACATCATGCTTGACAAAAAATTTAAGTTGATCATTGCTGTTCTCATGCTAAAGGCATTGGTTGACCAATCGCGCTGCCGTGTCAATGGGTGTGGGGCCTGCTGTTTTTATGCTAAGGGCGTTGGATGACAAATCGCGCTGTCGTGTTAATGGGCTAGGTTCCCATAAGCGTACTGAGCGAGGCGACAAGTGTCTCGTGACGATGATCTCTCGGCGCCGGAACAGCAGCCGATTAAAGCTTCTTGAGATGAAAAATCCCACTAGAGAAGCTACTTAAGCCATTTCACCACCAAAGGCAAACAAGGACGCTACGAAGCGAGTCATCACCTCTCTTTCTGGGTAAGTTGAAGAATTCTTTCGTTTTCTCTTCGCGTTCACCCATCCATGAAGGAAATTACTCAATAGTACTTAAAGAATATGATAGTTTGGTTAACCAATCTAGTGTTTATTCAATTATTTGTTAATTGAATATTTTAGCTTGTCGAGTCGAACATCGCCATCTCAACTGAGCGAAGTTCAAATCGTGTTAGCTTTTCTTAATGCGTCTAACATTTTCCATGCCAAAAACGTTAATGAGTTCTTTAAGTAGAAACCTACCAAAGGTCGTTTTCCGTTGTTTTTTCGTTTCTTCATTTTGCCCAAAAATAAAGATTAAATTTTGTTCATAACAAGGCAACCCAGTTACACCGAAGCTTTGCGATAAGCCCGTTCATTTGCCTGTGCAGACACTTCAACGTTTATTTTCTGTTCCGATCCCACTAACACGTACTCCAGTGTAACTTCGCATTCATCGTCATTGACTGTGCAGTGATGACCTTTAGTTCAAAACCTGTTTTATCACACTTCGTGGGTTGAATTAGCTTGTTTCAAAATGGTATATTAAAAGCAATTATGGGATTCGTTAATATGGGTAGTACAAAAAAGACCAACGCCCTTCGAGTGATTAGCATCTGATTTCTCCTTACAGTATCGCTGCTGAATCAAACATAACGGTCATGATAATAAAAGAAATGATCACCAACGAAAGGTCTTGATTCGTAAACAAATGAAGAAATGTAAAATGGTTTCCGTGTTTACATAGCCTGATCTAAACACGCGGGAGGTTGGGAGAACACGAGATAAGCGTAGGAAACCACGACGCGAAGCAGCAATGGTTTCTTTTATAAAATAACTAATGAAAAAGGAACGAAAACCGTGTTTACATACGCTCATGTAAAATGGTTTTATGGCCAATCAGAGCGCGCGTACTATTTGAATTATTTTATAATTCTCCTTGTCTGTATTGTATAAAAAACAAAATGGAGAATATAAACATAGCGGAGTGTTTCCTTGATATAACAAAAAGCTGTGCCTGTAGGTTTACAAGGAAATTTCAAATGAAATTAGAAATTAGAAATTTTCCATCTAACAGATGGAAAAAACTAGATACCAGATTATGAGAAAACAAGGCCAAGCTTTATGTCATATCCGAGGTCTTCAATGGGGGCAATCTAGCCACGGGCCAAATAAGATTATAGAATAATTCTCTGTTTCCTTCTTATTCAATATAGGATAGAGATATCACTTCATTAAGATAGGAGTTGGCAGACCTTCCAATCACAACACAATTAAGATAAAACAAGTCCTTGAGGTAAAGGATTTGCCAATTTAGAAATCTTAGCCCTCTGCTTATCTCTCTTTGATAATCTTAGTATTCTACAGCCTTAAAAGCTAATATCATAGCAGGAAAGAGTAATCGAGTGTTTTTTCAGACCCAGGAAATGATTTAATAGGGAATAACATTGGCCATTTTTAACGGAAATCTCTAGAAAGGGTTGCTTTCACCAAAATTGCGAAATTTCGATTCGTTGCCTACTTGCGAGGTATAACACGATAATTTTCATAAATTTTTTAACGCTGAGACTTAAAGGAAGTTACAAAATATCGGTTCGGTGAGAAAGAAAACACAAAATAGAAAATGGTAGAGCAAGAAGAAAAAGGGATTTCTCAAGGTGAAGAAGATTGTCTTGATTGGAATGAAATGATTACAAAAGATTAGTTCGGTGAGACAGAAAAACACAAAAGAGGCAGTGATATATCAAAAAGGAAAAAGGTTAGTTGAGGTTAAAAAAGACTGACATGGATTGTAAATGAATACAAAAGATTACTTCGATAAGATGGAAAACAACAAAAGAGGTTATGGTATACCAAGGAGGAACGAGAATGGAGAAGATTATAGTGAATTGCAAATTATAATCTCAAGACAATTTAGTTAGTAAGAATTTGACAAGATAGAAGAACCATAACATCGCCATTCCTTGAAAATTCTAGAAAGGAGATTTGGTAGTCTGTCTGAGTAAGAGGGTTTTATTGAATATTACTTCGCGTGGGCAAACCATTCTTCTTTCCCGGTTTACTATGCCATTCTAGTTCACAGTAATCTATCGTTTTAGTATCAGCCTCGATGCATGAAATTACATGGCTGTCATGGAAATCTCGTTGCCTTCCTTTTTCAAAATGACGAAGGATGACAACAGCACCACCTGATGATAGAAATGATAAAAGACTCTATGTTTTAAGGAGAGCAGTGAAATATTTCCTGTTTACTTTGGAACTGGAACCTTTTTACTTCAGCTGATAACTCAGCTACAAAGAAAACAAACACAAACGGAAGATAGCAGGTAATTTAGTGTTAACAACTGGGTTGAAAACGTAAATTAGCCACCGTAAAGGGTAAAGAAGCTGACGTTTCGAGCGTTAGCCCTTCGTCAGAGCGATTGGAAGATAGTTGCCTATATAGTGCACTCGGTTGGGAGATCTCTAACGCTGTACGTCCTTCATTTACGATTATCATTATCCTTATTATCTTTAATTTTATCAGTTGACATGTTAGCTTCTATTTTTGTATGATAATCTGACAAATGATTTGCGGGCTAAAGGTTAATATTTCGGTTTCCTTGGATAACCCACTGAGCGAAATAGACTTTCCTGATACACATATATCTGAGTAAAGTCAGACAGACGGTCTCCAAAATCAAGGGGGGTTTAGTAAATAAATGATATGTTATCTGCACATTAACAAAGACGTTGTTTACAGAACACTTAATATAGCATCATGACTAGTAAGAGGCAAAATCAAAACGATATTTCAGAGTTACGTGGCGGTATGATTTGAGGTATTATCGAGAAATTTCTTATTTTTTCATTGAAAACTAGGTTTGTCTACAGAATCATTCCTAACATTAAATTAAATATGATATTGTATCACCTGAAACCTTCTTCAGCCGTTAAGTTCTGAAGTAAGAAAAGGCTCAACTCTAATGATTTTCCTTTCGACAAAATGGCAAAGTCCAAAATGGTTTTGCTAAAAGCGTGCCTTAGCTAGATGCCTCGAGGATTCACAATGACCTGACCTCTATCAAATAAAATTTCGAACATTTTGTTGAATTTTTGCCAGTATACACAGTTTCATCTTAATTACATCGAATAGGATTTTCTGGAGACTTGTCGATCTTCTGAGACCGCTGAAAGATGTTGGAACCCATGAGAGCTGCGTCATAATTCGCCCACAAATGCCATACGAACTAAAGGTGTAAATAATGC